GAAAAGAAGAAAAAAAGTTGAAAAGAAGAAAAAAAGTTGAAAAGAAGAAAAAAAGTTGAAAAGAAGGAAAAAAGTTGAAAAGAAGAAAAAAAGGAAAAGAAGAAAAAAGGAAAAGAAGAAAAAAGGAAAAGAAGAAAAAAGGAAAAGAAGAAAAAAAGTTGAAAAGAATTCATCAAAATATACATGCATAAAAAGCATGAAAAAGATGCGTTTTGAGTGATATACGCAATGTCTAAATCCGATCACTTTTTAATAAAATTTCAAAAATTAAGTAGGATTCGGTTATTCCAAAAAACAAGAAATGCAAACAATCGTTGAGAAGGTGCCTTGAATATGAAGACCAAATGATACCTAAAGAACAAGCGGTAGTTACTCGGTATGGAGAAGAGAATGACTGAAATGAATTGCATTAATGAAATGGTTTTTATAAATGGACAAAAATTTGCGTAAGAGTTATGAGACTGAAATATTTGGCCTGTGCACTTTTTGATATGATAAATATTTCACTTTAACTACTCATGCTTATTTAAGCATATTTAGCATCTAGACTAGTTACAAGTAAACATTTGAAATGATTTTGTAAAAGAAAAAACTGTTTGACAATGGTAGTACGATCATAAACCATTTCGAAATAGCATATCGTAGAATAGAATTTGTAATGTTGCCGGAAGTAATCATAAAATTCAAATCCTTCATATTCATTAATCTTTTATTCATATCTACGATTGCGCAGATATCACATATTTCAGAAAGCGACAATAATTCAGGAAGAGTTAAGCTAATGCCATTTCAATTTCAATTTCTAAACGACTGTCTTTCAGTGATCCATGTGCAGGCTTACATTAGTTGATGATGATTATAGCATCCTCATATTATTATAATCTTTTTTTTTAATTTTCTGTAAAAACAAAAAAATAATCGAAAATATTTATTAAGAAATATAAAATATGCAGCATTTAAACATCGCAAATAATATTACGATTTTTTAACAAATTTTCGCTTGGTTTGACCACCTTTGCTTAGGACACGTCTTGAAACTATATTTGTCTTAACGCTTCCACCGTTGCGAAATTGACTGATAGCTGATGGAGCATCGTCACGATCAATTGATGCCACACCTTCCAGAGTCGATGGCTCTTCTTCTCGACTTTGATTTTTCGCAACATCTTCCCGAGCTACTTCCAAATTGTTACTTTTACAACGCTTATCCATAACACTTTTGCGTTTTCGATATTGCTCACCGGAATGTATCTATTAGAAAATAACACGCATTAGGTAGGGAAGCCTTTATAAAAGCAGGGTTGAAAATCTCCTTTCTTGAGAAACCTCTCAAAACTTCTATTTGAATACTTTATGTTTGAATGCAATAAGTGATGAGCACTGGGCAAGTTTCAGAAAGACAGGTAATTATTATTAAAGCTTTTTACTTGAGCAATTGTTTTTGAATCCTTGAAGTCATCCTGTTGTGTTGACTGCGTCTTCTGCAACATATATGGATTCAATCATCGCTTACTCGCCATTTTTTAAATCATTTTAAAAAATTTGACGAATGATGAGACGGAAATTCCTACATGTTGTCCCACATCCGGTATTTTCTGGATTAAAATTTGATGCTCATTCCTCTCATTCGAATACAATTTTTCCTTTTTATCTTTCTTCTTATCACTTGCTACTTTTTGCTTCGTTTTCGAAAACGCTTTAAAATAGAGCTTAAAAAAGTAAAAAAAATTAAATGAAGTCAATGAATTAAAAGAGAATGTGTCCAAATGCTTCTCAACTTTTCCACATTTTACATGGTCATGGGAAATGATGATTAAATTGGCTAAAAAAGCCGATAATGGTAATTTTTCAAAGGATCTTTTAAACGACATTTTTTTAATTTGAACTTTGAAAGCAACTTAGGTTATTTTTTGTCTGATTTGAGTAAAAGAAATGTAAAAACCAGCAAGATACGATTTAAAGGTTAAACTTATTTTTTTCATAAGAAGGAAACCTTTTTCTTTGCTGGTTAAATTTCTGTCACTATTTTGTGTTGGTTCCACCAATTTAATTAAGTTTTCGCTTATATCTTCCTCAACTTTAGCTTGATCAAGTCTCTGCAATTTTAAACTTTTTCGGATGACTCAAAAGCTATTATTAATTACTGCCATCACATAGTATCTTAAAATCAAATACCACATGATAGCAATAATTAAAAAATGGCATATTATTAAGACAGGAGTTGGATTAGAGAGTAGACAAGAAGGAAAGGTAAATGTTGTTGATTCAATATGAAACAATACTGGTTCAACTAGGATATCGTGTCTTTTTCTGCGTGCAAATAAATTGATTTCTGATGTATTTTCTGCAAATCCTAATTCAAAATTCTTTTCTATGTCATTTACCAATTTTCATGAACTAATAAATCTCTTCAAAAAGAATTTTTTCGAGAATTCCAAAAATGTTTGAAATTTGTTGTCTTATTATAATAAATCTGAATCACACCGGCGTTTTATTGATACGTGCACCGCTTGATTTGAATACACAACCAAATCGAACTAACAACAGAAATGTACCGATCACTGAAAGAAAGGCTGAAACAGCATTGTTAAAAAGTGAAATTTCACAGCTACCGCTCATGACAAATCATTAGATAAAAACTGATTTAATCACAGATATGATAATTGTTATTATAAAGAAAAAAACATAAATTTGAATTTCAGATTAAACGCTCTCTTTCCACGAGTTTCAATTGGTTCTCAACAAGAATCTGTTGAAGATCTTTTAATAACAGTTCTTTGATCCTTTTCCTCAATTGTTAGTATCTCGATTTCTATATACATCTCAATTGACTTCATGAAAAATATTTTCCAACAATCGATGAGAAACAATTCTAAATATATCTCGAAACAACCTAAACAACTCTCAAGTTATATTTCACATTTGCCTTCATTCCAGTACAACTTCATATCACTGGAAAATATTTCAAAGTTATCGAACAGTAGTACACGACCAAAACATCAAAACTGGCACAAAATACACTTGCATTTCATATCGCTACTATATTTAATAACTTATCTATCACCTTAATCATGTTTTCCATAACCAAATATTACATCTAGAATATGAATCCTTAAGGGAAAAATAAAGTTAAGCAGATGTATTATACTTCTCTAAGAAAATATATCTCTGCCATCCGTATAGATTTTAAATTGTTTAAAGAGTTCTTACAATTTGACTGTAAATTAGAATCTTAATCACATGAACTTCAAAGTCCCCATATTCTTTCATGCTTCCAGTCCCAATTCAACATGATCCATTTTATGTGCTGTAAGACTGCAAATTTAAAACACTTCATATCCATGTTTTTGCATAAACCAACAGCATCGATGATGATATGATGAGATGACATACAACTAATGTCAAAAACGTTACGAAAATCAGACTTCATTAACTGTTTCAGTTATCACCACTAAAAATAGGTAACTAATCTTCAACACACCAGTAGTCTAATGGCTACCGATCTGTTAAGGATTGCTGTCGCAGAATAAACTTAATCATCACAATATCTAAATATTTAAAATGTCAGAGAATATTTTCGCAAACTGCATGAAACATGTAAAAAGTTAATGAAGTGACAAGACTACATTTATGAAAAATGTGAAGCTTGAATCGAAAGCAATATTAGCCTGCAGCAAACATTATCATATCACAATCGGTTCCCTCAGAACATTCTACTCCATTGAATTTGATGTGAAATGAGATCCATTATTATTAACATTTCCATTCTTCGTCACAAAAGCTCAATTTTAATTAATTTATTTTAATAATGTTACTTCGGTACGAAAACCCCTCAACAAAAAAAATTCTGCAAAACACTCGAATTAATTGGTCCTACTGTAAAAACGAGAATTAAAAAAATGAAATGAATCCCAAATTTGTCCTTCGTCCATAAAAAAAGTAGATTAAATCAAGAAACTAGGTCACCTCTGATTACAAGGCCTTGACAACAGATCACGATGTGCTATTTTTCTACAGTCCAATAACAGTGAATACAGAAATCAAAACCATGAAAAAGTTAATTTGAAATATTGTTAACAAGAAATAAATCATTTAAAAATATATTTGAGCAGAATAATTGATCTTTAGAGCAAAAGTTACATATGGCGAAGTTACAATAAGGGTATATGGACAGACGAAATGTGTATGACTGCAGAAGCATGTGCTTTAATAATCAAAAAGAGAATAACATAAATTACTGAAATACAGATATGCTGAAGATTTTTGGCACATAAGGAATTCGTTAGTCTAAAACTCACCAAAATTAAAAAAACGTCATTTTTTCTGAGAATTTAGTTATTTCATTATGTTCAAATAACTGTAAGCATATTCAGAAAATTTTCCTTGATGCCATAGTGTCTAGAAATCTCCTAATATCGTAATAAATAATTTAAAAAAGTCAAGCACCGAAGAAACCAATTATCAAAAGCGTCAACAGTAGAAAGTCTCAATTTCTGGAAATACATAACAAATCCTTCTAGTTTGATACTTCTCCCGGAACTTTCTTCATTATCAGCATCAGAACAACACAAAACTTACAACTTCACAACTCGAAAGCTGTCAACATTTGAAAGCGCTCTTGCAGCTTGGCACAAAATTAAATCATTGATTCAAAAATATATAAGTGAACATGAAAAACAAGCCTAGTACTGAAATTTAAAACACAAAAATTACTTCAAAATTCCTACAAATAATGTTCGTTTTCTTTTTTGCGATTAATGGAAGCTCCGTGTATCACAATTGAACATGCTCTTCAAATACTCGTATGAATAGTTAGGCTACACTGGACGTCTTTAAAGCTCAACACTTGGCTTATATATAAACACAAAAAGCTGAGATATGAGTCAACGTGAGATTTTTAAGAGTTTTGAAAATTCAGACATCATTATAAAAAATTACAAAAGCTACCACAAGTAGAGGAATTCATAAATTTTGGAATTGAGCTGGCAATTTGCTAGAAACTAGGGTTTGTATGCCTGATTTTTCTACTTTTAAAAACGACTGGTTAAATGAAAACTGGTTTGAAATTGCGATATGAAGCTCCTTTCAACCCGATCAATGTTGTTGCTTCCGGTACTTTTTGCTGCCAAAGCCTAAAAGTTCGCATTATACAAATTAACTGTATTTCTCAATGGAATTAAAAAAACAATAAAAAATTCCACATAACAAAATGATTCAGGACGAAGTTTTGAAATACCATCGCCCATGTTTTAGTAGATGACGAGATCAAAGAAAGCAAAACGAGGGAAAGAGAATGATTATTAAAGCTTTATTGTTTCGAGATCACACTAACAAATTAAAATATGAAATGAGTTCTTCCTTCGTACACTAATTTTAGTGAAAGATTAATACCAAAGCAATGAAAAATCAAATACCTTTCTCTGACTACTTTCAACTGCTTCTGTATGGCATCACGCATTTCTAAAACTGCCAACGTCTTCTTCAATATCGATTTCTCAGCCTATATTTTTTTTATTATTTAAAAACCAAAGATCGAAGTAGATAAGGCAGTTCCAGTAGTGGAAAACAGAACTGCTCAAGTTGAAAGTATGAAAAATAAAATAACTTAAAAAATTTTATGACACTGATACTTCCCTTACTATATTATTTTATGTTACTATTATAACTATTTAAAACGTTTGACTTTGTTGTTTCTCAAGATCAAAACAAAAATTTCGCAATTCTGAAATAAATATATGGCAAAAAATAGCTTACTTGACTATCAGGAGAAATCAATACTCCGGCACTAATGTTCTGAATTTCCTTGAGCTGTAGTTGAAGACTTTTATATTCTTCATTCACCTCAAATTCAGATACTCGGAGTTTCAGTTCTTCTTCACGTTGTTTCAATTGAATCATTTCTTGTACATACAACAACCACTGCTCCAGTATCCATAAATTTTCTGCATCTGTATAGATGAAAAATAATTTAACTTTGAATTGTACACAATAAATCTAAGTTAACTTGCTATAACATTTTCATTCTCGAAATTTTGATTTTTATACATTTGAGGAATAGTATAAAAAATACCATCGCGTAGCCGTCTTTCTAAGTCCCCAGCCACTGCTTCAACTTCTAATTTTCGAACATCAATTTCCTCCAGCTCACGTTGCAAATCATGTGCTGCACTAATACGTTCTTGTTCTTTTTGTCTTAAGATTTTTTCAGCCAATTTCTGAAAATCTCAACCAATTTAACAAGGAGATTGAATAAAGTCATATATTAAATAATTTTGTTTAATTTATCTGTATATTAAGGTCCAACAGCAAGTTCGGAATGTACTGAAACATAAAATGCAATTTTACAAAAGTTACCTGAACACGATGGATATCTTTTTTTGTAAACATAGGTGATAATTTGTTTTCTGAAATGTTACATTTTTACCAACTCAAAAAAATAGAAAAATAAAGCAAATACTTTTGAACTTTAATGGACAGTATGCAAAAACAGCACATCAGTTATCACAAAATACGAATAAGTGTGCATGTTAATTATTGATTGCTATTTGAAGAAGATTTGCACATAAAAATTTGAAGTAAAATAACAATTGCTCTCATTATGCAACATTTGAAAATATAAATTATGAATATTTTTTCAGTAAGTATATGAATAAGTTCTAGTATTCTAAAAATAAATTGAAAATAATATGTACCAGGTGCATCGGTGTTGATATTGTTAGCAGCACAATGGGAAGAGGAAGCTTTACTTTGATAAAGACTTGAATGTTTCCTCGCCGGCGAAATACTGAGTGCTTGATAAGCCGACGTGCTTGCACACCGAGAAAGCACCCTTTCTCCTGAGATCATGATATTAACAGAATTTTTTATAAATCAAGTTTTGTGCAGCAATTTACATACTATAGTGTTGCTCAAAGTAAGAAAATGAACAGTTCAAAACTAAAGTTTTTTCATAATTTAAAGCAGCACTGTACTCTATACATTATAATTCAAACCAGAGCTACCTTTTTGCATTTGTAGTGCTCGGAAATTTGGAAATTTATGTAACCAGCTAGTATGCTTTTGCTTTTTGACATCTGTGCCATGTAAATTGGAATTCTGAAAATTTTCTGCTAATGGATCAAGTTGAAAACATTAACAAAACTTTTTACAAATCAAATTTTTTCAGCAGTTCCGTTTTTCAGCAGTTTAATACTTCTTAACCTGAACTTTGTAAGATCCATAACCGACGACTGTTTAAGAGGAATACCCCCACATTATGGTTTAATCAGCATGTCTGAATCAAACAATTATGAAATGTAGCACTTATTTCATTGGTAGTACATTCTGTTTAGAATTTAGTATAACTGATCATATAACACTCCTTACTTCAATAATTTCATCCGAATTCGCAAAACAATTGATTGCTCTATCTGTCTTGTCATTAGCTTGCACAGCTTTGACTTTTTCAGCACTGAATAGTTGAGCTAGCAGGCCCAGATCTGGAACTGAACTTATATCCAACAAGTCAATTTAACAGAATCAATAATTTTTTATAACAAATATTTCTTTCATTCCCACTTGCAGTTCACAATACCTTTTGCACAGAGTTGATGCAATATAAATATTAGTGTCCTATCATTATATTTTGTGCAATAAAGTGGTTAATAATTGCAAAAAAATTTACTTGATTGTGCAGTTGATTGTGAGTGAACTATAGTTATTTTCTGAGAATAATCATTATTCGATGAAGAACGAGCAAAATTATCCATCGTAGGCGTTGTATGAATTTTCTGAAATTAGATTTATAACGTTTCAATTCTGAGCGTAAAATTTAATCCAGCAATAAAAATGTAAACTGTATCTGTCACAATAAGCTAGTCCACTTGTTTTTGTGTTTTTTTTTTTGAATTCTTCTTTTCTTTCAAGCGAACAAATTGGATTTACTTGATTATGCAAGCAAAAAAGTATTCCCAGCATTACAAACTGATTTTACTTAATACGAATCAGCACCTCAATATCATTTTGAGTAAGATCCAGAGAAAGATGGCGAGGGAAACGTGATACAATTTTCGACGACTGCTTAGGTATTGAGTGACGTTTATTGGTTCTGCGTAATTCTGAAACATGCATTAAGAAAATATAGTGATATAAATTTTAACACAATCCATACCCATATTATAAGAATTCTTTACGGTTGAGTTTCATTATTAGTTGCACCAAAAATATTGCAGAACAAAGAAAAAACTAGGAATAATTAAAGTGAAAGCTAGCCCGTATTAGTAGAATGAGTTACCTGACTCTTCATCAGTTTTTAACTTAATTTTTGTGGCAGCTCGCTTTTTAATTTCCGTGAATGGAGTCAATACTTCCTAAAAATATTCTCAGTTTCGTAAATACAACAACAAGTAAACTACTTCACTGTAATCTACTAAATTTGAGATATCTTTCGTCCTCCCTTTTTTAAAATGTAAATTATATTTCCATATATTTTCTTATTAAATAAATTGAATTATATGAATAAATCTGAATTAAAAATTTAAATCATCAATTCGCAAATGGAGGAGAAACAAGACGGAGCTCAGCAAATAATTGCTGGCAAAGCAATGAATGAAAAATCCGTTGTTTTTTCAAAAAATATAATAAAGTATTACTTCTCTAAGTACAGAGTGGTAATTCTTTTCCGACAAATCTTTCTTTATATTCACCGCTGTCACTAATTTCGGTGACTCAGCTGTTGTGAAAGCTGTCAACTCGCTTTTGTTTTTGGTAATAGTGGCATCAAAACTTCCATTAGGCTTTTTGCACTTTTCTCTCAATGATGGAACACTTGAATGTTCTTCCAGGAATTTTTGTTGTCGACGTTCTTTAAATGTCTTCAAAAGTTTCAACGCCTGAAAGGAAAATAACGGCAATAGCTAAAAGCAGAAATACTTAAATCAATCATGATCAATCATGCGTGTAACAGCATTGCATATAAACTTTTCAGATCCACAATGTTTCAAAGTGAAATATAAGTACCAGCTGGAAATTGATAATTAACTACCTTCAAACAAGTGAATTATTCACTTTAATATATTTTACAAGTTGGCGCTTTAAAGAAGCATATGATGCAATGGTTTTTCAAAAATCAATTCATTTTTTCTGAACGATATAAACTAACTATGAATGTTCTAAAAAATTTTTGAAAATTTTGCAATTACCAGTGTTAAATGCGAGACTCAACTGTAAAAGTTACCTGTGCATCAGTTAACGATCTATTCATATTTTTTTCAAAATTTTCCAGAACAGCTGATTCCAGATCGACCAATTCATCTTCCATGAAATCACTATCACTATCATCATCGTCATCATCATCACCTTTATCAAATGATAAATGTTCATTCCCATCCTCTGAAAATTAAATGATTACAATTGCGAACAAAACATGATGTCAAGTAAACGGAAAAGAGTACGAACTATTCCCTTTCCTTTTTATTTTTATAATTAATTCTAAATTAAAGAATGCTAAAGTTTAATACGCAAACTTCGGTTAACGAATTCGTAACAAATACATCAAAAACTTACGTAATAATTCTTCATCACTAAAACTATCGTGATCAATTGGAGAAATTTCATTGCTAATAGCTGAAGCCAGTTTTTCTTTTGTAATTGTCTGAATCGAAATCAAAATTGAAGTAGTATAACTAAGTTTACGGCATAATAATACCTGCGAAGAAAATTTTGAAAATTCACGTCAAACATACAAAAATTTATTAATATAAAAATATTTTTCTCACTGTAAAAAAATTTGTAATTCAATTTTCAAAAGTGAGAGTTAATCAGATATGGGTTTTCTATTTGCTTATTAAATTCAAGTATTTAATTTTTAAATAGCAAACTAACCTTTTGGTTATGTATTTCAAATTCGGCACGCTCACGTGTTACATCTCTATGCGATGATGACAGTAATGCACCAATTGCTTCTTTTTGGGCTCGCATTTTTTCCATCGTCTTGCCAAGGAGCATGGACGGCGAGTTCCGTCCAGTTCGCTGTACAGCAGGTGCTATTGTAGATTGCTAGAACTTTATAAAATAAAAACAGCGCAACACAACATTTTACTGCGCCGCAGAAATGACCTACATGTTTAAAGATAATTCATGATTGATTAAAATCCAATTTTTATCTTTTTTCAATTAGTATAATTATTTTATTCATCTTAAATTTCTGTGGAAGTAGGTGTTCAATTTTCATATACTAACATTTATAGGTGACGTTTTATATCCATTGACAGTATTCAACGTGTCATTCAGCGTTGATAATAATGATCCTACAAATACCACAGTTGAAAAAGGTTTTTTATGAAAAAACGATAACATATGACATCTACTTCTTTAAAAATGAGTATTACAGTCCTAAATATTCGAAACTAAATTGAAAATTAACTAGGTTTCAAGAAAAAATTTACCTGCAGCATCACTTCCTTTACAACCATTTTTCTCTATCCGTGCAATCTTTTCTAGAACTGGTATGTTTATGTGCTGCATACAGAAGAATCTGAAAATGCATCTTCAATAAATCAAAAAAAGCAACCACTTCAAAATATTAAAAGCGTCCCTAATTTATTATCCATAAAGATCCAAATCTTAGCAAGATATGTGTGCTTTTCTCCTTTTATGTTAAAGCAATTCCTAACTTTATATGTAAAAATATAATTTAAAAAGTAATTACACGAAGTTGTGCAATCTTATCAAATTCAGATAATAAACAAAATTATCGGATGTAATATAGAGAATCACTATGAGATGAACCTTGGATTAAAATTTCGGAGATTTCGATCTTGAGCGCAATTGCCAAGACGTAACGGTTGTTCGCAAAAAGCACAACGGAAGCACTTTTTGTGGATGAACATTCCCTCCACCTGCATTCGCTCAGCTAAGTAAACAACTTTCAAACATAGCTGACAGATTATCTGTCGACGAGCATTAACACTGTCGCATGATAATTGCATAACAGGCATTGAGCAAGGTCTCGAGGAATTACTTGAAGACAACGACTTATTCTGAATTGTCAAAAAACAAATTTAAACACATCAAATATCAAGTGAAGTTTAATGAACGCTTTCAGCTTCAACATTAAGTGAATGACGTTAAAAATTATTTGAATCTTCGACTTAGCAAAATCAAATAATGGCAATCCATTTTCTTTACTCCAATCTAATCTTGACGTAAATTGGCCTATGGAAAATATTAGAACATAATTTCCATTACATACAGGCGCCAAAATAAGATTTTACCCGGAAAACAACACTTTGATTTTCTGAATGCGAGGCTGACGAACTGATCCTGTTTTCTTGCAAAATAGCTTTCTTTGGAGGCAAAGGTGGTGGAGATTTATTGACACTTACTGGTTTGTTTCCATCATTTACTGCCTACAGTTTTGCCTTCATTATAAAGCAATGAACATAAAACATATCGACATCTCTTATCAAAATCACTCAAATCTAACGAATTTCGAATTCTGTAAATAACATATTTTCACATTGAAGGTAATATATAAGTGTTAAGGGATACCACGATATTTCTATTTTTTGTTCTGGAGACGATATCAATACCGACCAAGTTTTGATTCTTCAACAACATTTCTGCTTTTAATAATCTTTCGTCAATTTCCTAAACATATTAGTGTTGTCCCATAAATCATTAGAAGTTAAATTACATTGAATCTAAGCATAAGAAATAAGAGTTGACTGAAGAAGCCTTCAAAACACACAAAAAAAGAAAAGGCGTAAAATACAAGACAACCTTATATTTTTCATCAGCATGTTTGAAGCCTTCGCTTACAGTTCGCCGAGCTGCTGCTGCATTCGTGCAGACAATCTAAAATGCCTTTATTGCGAATAGGCGTTTCAATCATTAGCAAAACTGAAATCAATATCAAGTTTTCAATAGAAAAAAAACCAATCTTACTAAACAATTGATAATTAATGAAAATGAATAAAGAACTGAGTAATTCAAAGTACATGTTGTAAGTTAAGGTGCAAGAGAACAATGAAACAATCCAATTTTTAATAAACAAGGAAATGTATGCATGTCTTGTCTTAAATTCTAAAATTAAATTTAAAAACAGCATAACTTTTATTAGAAATTTCCTTTTCAACAGAACTTCTAAGTATGATTAAAAGAGAAAACATTGCTTACCTTTTCTTCCTTGGAAGTCAGAACCCGATATTGTTCCTTATTGAAAAGCAAGCCCATAGCAGTCTGTTCTAATTTTAATTTCATTTCGTCAATGTCATGCTTGTCCAATTTCCTCGCCAAAACATTCGCCAGTCGCTGTTTATTACGATATATTTCTTCTGTCTTCTCTTTCTCCAGTTCGCCACTTACAATTTTTTCAACCTGTAATTGAAGTAGTAGCTGTAATATTAGCGAAAAATTGGTAGTATGTAACATTAACGAATCCATTTTCAAAATGAAATTGAATCAGGTGTAAAAATCTACGACCAAAAAAATTACATAACATTCGCTAACTAAATGTTTTATTATTTTAGAATTCTAAAATCTCTTACGGCATATAACCGCTCAGGGTTTAGTTTCTCAACGGCTGGTCGTCCGGTCTTATATTTTAGTGGTTGAGATCCGACTGATTGTATAAGAGCATTTCGGTCTAAGCGTTTACAGGAATAGCTGAACTTCTCATCATCATTCATGTCTGTTACTGTACCTCGGATCTGATATAATATGAAATCCATAAAAGTTTGAAATATATATATGCTGTTCAAGAAAAGTAACAGATTCAAACCTCGACCGGAAGTGAATAAGAAGATGAAATAAAACCTCTCCTACATTAATATTCTCTGCATAAAGCCTTTCGTCATTATTTTCACATCTTCGTCCATTACAGTAGTTGATAAAAAAGAATTTAAAAGATCGAATACTTTACGATAGACTGGTTCGGTTTTCTTTATATGAGAAGTATCTATCTGCACAAATATTTCTTATAATTCTTAAATTTGATGATGGCCCACATTATTTTTTAGTAAGAAATGTAGATAACAGAGAATACCTGCTGCGTCTTTCGTTTATGAGATATTGTACTAGTTCTAATAGCATTCATTAGCGATTCTCGCATTCGTTGTGAATCATTTTTCAGTGCTTCTACAATGCTACTTATATACAGAACTCGTGAATCTGCGCTTATATCAATCCATTCTGCATGATTTTCACAAGGTGGTTTAATACCATATTCCTTTTTAACTGTAGAAAACACTTTCTGCAAAGAAAATTTAAACAAAACACAGTTAAATAAACAGCGCACTTTCAGCAGAACATGTTTTTTTCGATCTGAAAGTTAAACTTATATGTTGGTATGTTGAAATCTAAAAGAATTTTTATAAAAATCGCAAAATTTTCAAACAATTTACCTCAACGACCGCATTAGGATCATCAACAGCACAAAGCGATAAATAATCCATCAGATCCGGACGAAACTTTCCTAATAAAGCAGCTAAAGCGCGTCCATCGTTCCAACTAAATTTTTTAAATTCATATTTCATTTTTCTCTATGTTCCTAGTTCATCGTTTCAAAAAACGAAAAAACACGAAAAGCGAAATTCAAGTAAACTACCACTCCAGGAAGTTGAAAATACGCAAATGATATGCAGCAAGCGATTGATGACAGAACTTCCATAGCTTGTATCTGCAAATTCATGAATTTGACTCTGAAATAAATTTTAATAACTGCAATTTGCCATTAATCTCATACTTCATAATTATAATTAATCTCATAGTTCATAATTATAATAAATATAAACTAAAATTTATAAAATTGATAAAAAGGACAATAAAATACCTTTTAATGTATGCTTCACTGACACAATCAACTGCTGTAGCAACTCGTAACGGTAAGGCTTTATTTGTTTCTACATTCCGTGGATTATCCGTATCAATCAAATGACTTATTTCATGCGGCTGCACTGCCATTTCCAGACTAATGTAACGCGTATGTGGATCAATCGTATACTGTTAAAAATGGATTATATTTCTTTTGAAGTAAAAAAGGAATAAACTTCCAGTGCTAGCCTTTCACTGGAAATCCTGTAAAAATAAGCAAATAGACATATCCTGAGCAACACAAGGAAAAAATCACTTCCTGCAAGTTTTTGCACGAACTGTTGGAGCAATTTAACCCCTACTTCTTATATGTGATTTTTCTATGTGTAGGTAGTATAATGATGGATTGATGTTAAAAAAAACTCTATGTAATGAAAATAAAAAAATTCAAAACATACTTTATGCGTCTGTTTATGCAGATTATCCGGTTTCGCCTGTGCCAGTAACCGATAAACACTTTCACGTTCAGCGAGAAGTACCATAAGACCCTGCACATTCAAACCATAACTTCTTAACATCCAAATCGTATCGAAGACGCCCAAAAACCCTCGCGCACATCCTGAACCTGTTGGCCAAAAAGGCTGCAATTGAAGATTTTTTAAAACTACTATTTCACCACACAAGAACGCAAAAAAAATTAACTGTAGTCTTTCAACCAAGAAAAATTATAACTGAAAATTATAAAAAAAAATTGTAACTCTTACACCGAACAATGAAAATATTTTGTAACAATATTCAACTGTAACAATAAAACTGTTTTCATTTTGCACCAGAGAAGCATTTTATTGAATTTTCCGATCTCCTAAGGGGCTATGAAATATTTTACTTACTTCCCAATATCAAATTTCTCTGTCAATGCACCATAACGGCTGTTATATTTGCTATTTACTTTCAAGTCAAAGGTAATTTATATAGGTCTCTTTATTCGGAGCCGTATCGGGATGCAGCCATATTAATATATAACAGATAATATAGTTTATAAACAGTTTTGACAATCTGGTTATCATAAATTTAATTGTAGTATCCCAATTGTAATAAAAAAAAAAACAATAAGTCAATGTTAGGACATATCAGTTTCTTTGCACATGTTCAAAAGACTTACTTCATGCAAACTATCCCCAACAATCGACATTAGTAATCGGCGATCATACCGTTCAATAAGCCGTACCGAACATTGCGCCGAAAACAATGATGTAAAGTCAAACATTGCAACATCTTCATTATCGTTGTGATTTCGTGCATATTTTAAATTAGGAAGATTACCACCAGTAGCAAAATCAGCTGCTTCTGCCGCATAATCGCATAACTTTTCCTGAAAAAAACTCACCTGCACAAATCAATAAAATTTCTGATGCTTGAGAGAAAAAATATAATACCTGGTTTATATTATTAGGCGATAAAAGAAGCGATACATCCTCATTATCCTGAAACAGAAATAATACTATTGGAAAAATAAATATCAAACTGAAAAACTTGAAAAGTAAACCTCCAACACCATAACTACGGTTAAAATAGCAACAAACCTCAATAATGACGCCTTTTTCCAACAAGCTTTGTTTTTTAGCACACATTACAAAATAATGCGTTTCATCTTTATAGTAAACAATATTCTCCAAATCAACACCTGTCGCTTCTTTCATATCTTTGAAAAACTGCTGATTGAAAATATAAGCAACACCACTGAAATGAAGAAAAAAAACCAAAATCAAAATTATTGGAGATATATAAAACAGTAGACCATTTCAGTAATATCAATAATAGTAAATGATATCGACCTTCAATAGTTCAGCTGGAAATATCAGATTAAAGTTGAAAAAAAACCTCAGCACAAGGATCAGAATTTTAAGATCATAAAACGGTCTCTCAGTTTCAATACATGTGGTATTTAGGTGCTTTATAGATTAGGGAAGATTATAAACAAAACCTTATTTCCTGTACTTTTTCTTCAGCAAGCGTCCGTTGATTTATAAAATTTGCGGTTATTCCAATTGCCAATTTACCACGCAATTCCCGTTTCGGAAAGCCTAAAAACAAGACTTTCATTTAATAGATTAGGCTAACAACTAGGATTAGCTACTCGGAATTCAAATAATATATCATAACAGATTGACGAATGAATAACAAACTAAACAAATTAATAAAATTGTTAACCCGGCACTGTATTACGTTTTCCATCTGCACCAATTAAAGCATCGAAGACAAAATCAGACAGAATGTGTTTTGGAGGACAAAATTCTGCCCGCCATCCTTCAACTATAATAACAATTTTAATCAAAACTGATTCAGGGTAAATAATATAAAACAAAAACATTGACATATATTTAAGAATGGACGAAAAGCAACTTCCTTCAACTATTATTCACTTAATTTCAAATAGTGCTAAATTACCTATTCCATTTTCATTAGGTTTGGGAAAAATGAGACGCTGAAAACTGACAGAATCATGTATTTGAACACCCAGAACCAGTGCAATTTTTACCAAAAATATTTGCAGTTGGCGTATACCTGTAAAAGAAATCAAATTAATTTAGCTAAATAATAAATGCTAAGATCCAATAATAAATTAAAAAATAAAAAAGTATTTTAAAGAAGAGAAAAGCAACAAAGGAATATACAATCATACTTTATTTACTATTCACACTCGAAAGCATTTTTACCGCAACATGAAAAACTTTGAATTCAGAAACAAATCAGAGAGAGTTAGTAAAACTCTGAACAATAGGTGTTGTGTTCAGAGTTTCAAGAAAACAAGGCTATAAACTAATTATAGTAAATTAAGTATCAAAAACAATAAACCAACTTATATGATCGATGCTACCGCGACAAAATTTTGGATAAAATATTTTGATTCCCAAATTTTTGAGATCCTGTATAACAAATGGCCAGATATGCAAGACATTGTTTCTTGAAAAACAATCTCGTTGTTCCACCAACACAACATAAGCTCCCAGCAATGCACACTCAATTGCCGATCGCAAACCGCAGGGTCCTTAAACTGATTTTAATTCCATTATGATTTTTGTGCTATTTAGAAGAATTATAAAGTGACCTTAGCTAATCTTTACTGTTATATACAGTGCAAGCAAGTTCCCGAACGACACAGTCTTATTTGCTGGCTGAGATTAGAATTTTTGAGAAAGATGGAAAATCTAACCAGCTCCAATGACAAGTACACTTAAACGTTCGCACGCTTTTTGATGACAATATTCCCTCTGTTCGGCTCGTTTCTCTAACAGCGACCATAGTTTTTGTGCGCGCCAATCGTTCAGCACTGTTTTCAACCTGTAGATATGAATATTTAAATCGAAAAAATTCAAATATTTTCATCAGTATTCATGCAGCATTCTTCTCTCCATTTTGATGGATTTTTTGAGTTCGTGAGCTTGATTTGACTTGATGGCAAACATAAAATTCTACTTTTCGCAAAAGCAATCCACTTGGAACTGTCCTTTTCGCAATCAGACTTTAACACATAGATTTCCACGTTTTAATCTTCACTGACCCTTGTTTCCTTAATTATCAATGTCCATTCAAACTATGTGTGCATATTTAATGAGTAAATAATTTCTGCTACCTTTGTTTTTTGTGCTTTTTTAATGGTTCCACTTTTTGTCTCTCTGACTTTCCTTATTAAAAGGTTTAATTAAATCGCTGAAATGACTCCCTCTTCTAATTTGTTCTTATGGCTAGTAACTGAAAGTACCTTCATAACTAATAGCAACTTGAAGCTGAAGAATAAATAATTGCTGGAAGAAGTAAATAACTTCCAGTTTTTGACTGCATCACAGAAAAAAATCAAACTCATACACTGTTAGATTTTTATACTCGAGAAACTACCGTTCGTAATATGATAGATTCTTATTAAAATCAAGTAAATTCTTTCCCATCTTAGTGCCATTATCAAATGCTACAAAGTTATATCATAATTAGGTACTGATAATTATTATACCCTCTGAAAACATTGAAATTATCATTTGGATCGATATCCAACAATGCGCAGAGTTGAGAGAATAGCTGCTGAATTTTAGTAAAGCTTGTTGCTGCGACAAAAGCGTCGAATAGTCTGTTGGCATCCATACATGCTATAAACAAATTAATGAAATGCGTGGAGTAACATTTATGATGTAAGTCGTTGCTCCGTTCACGTTATCGAGGACAACAGTGTTCAACTTCTGCGTCACGTCATAGATAAAATGTATTTAATAGGCACACGTATTTACCTAGTTTGTTTCCCGGTGGCGAATCGCTTTCAAAAGTATTCATTAAATGATTCTGAATTTAACAAATATCGCACCTCTAAAATTGCAAGAGATGTTGCTCTTTTTTGCAAAGACTCGTAGAAATTAAAGATCATACCCTAATTAATCACCCTCTAATTGAATTTTTGTAATATGAAGTGTGCTGATGAACGAAATTAATAGTGGCAAATTGTTCTGTGAACTTAATTGAATCTCTCTTTTTTGATTGTTGTATAGTAAGGCATATAATATCTCGATATATTTTAAGCAAATTATTGTTATCGTGAATCTCTCTCTCTCTCTCTCTCTCTCTCTCTCTCTCTCTCTCTCTCTCTCTCTCTCTCTCTCTCTCTCTCTGTCTGCCTCCTTTTCTACAGATTCGCGATACAATCACTGATATACTTTTAAGTTCTATCATCAAAAGAAATTACACAATTACAGTGATATTCAGCTTTATTTCTATTTTTAATCGTCTGTTATAGATACTAAAACGTTACAGAGGAATCATAATGCCTGATGGCGTATTAAAATAATTAATTAGTTGCATAAATTTAGAAAAGAAAGTTTTATATAGAGTTTTTAAAAAAGTTTAGGAATGATATTAGTGGAATTCTAACTTTATCAGTAACCTCTTATCAGCAGATTTCTTATCAACAGTGTTTTTTCAATTCCCACTAATGATGATGCTTAAGCAGCGGCAAAATTGATAAAAATGAAAATTAAAACCAATAAAATGGTGATAATGAGAATGTTCCCCCAATAGATCCTGACAATGTGTTCCATACAGCGCGTTTAATGACTTTAAATCAGCTCCCACCTGTCGATTCGAAATGTGTATTAAAAAAAATTATGGAAAGACATTAAAAGAAAAGAGGGAGAGAGATGAAAGAAGGGGACAAGGGGGGAATTAGAAATGAACCGTTATTAGTGTTCCCAACAGAAACGGACTAAGAGGTTACGGACTTCTGTATTGGTGCATCGTTGTGTACTCGTACGTCGTCTATAGTTCGTAAGTAGAACCACAAATTAGGCCAAACAATACATTATGAAAACTTTCACTTAACAGCAACGCAAAGTTTGTTCCCTCTCTCTCTCTTTCTCTCTTTCTCTTTCTCTCTCAACAATAATGATGAAAGCATTGATTACGATAAAGACATCATCTTTAAATTTGAAATAAATTAGTTACTTAAATGACTAGTTTACAGTTATGGAATCGGAAATTTATGAATTTTCAAGATCTTTTTTAAAATTTTAGTCAGATTCCATTTATTAAAACGTTAAAATTCATAGATTAAATTCGCTTCAAATTACTGAAGCAAATCGTGCAATCCAACGTTATGTTCTCTGCTCATCCTTCTATCTTTCACATCTGTACTTCAACAAAGAATTGGATCAGCATTTTGTTTTTCAGTTACTGAAAATTCGGTGAATATTATTTAACACTCAGTTAACTAATATTAGAAGATCGAATTAATTGACGGATATTATTAATTCATAAAACATGTAAAAATTGGTGAAAATATAAAATTTGAAATAAAATAGGAAGATAAAATTTACACTAAAACTAATAGGTCAGCAAAAATCAACAAATTCTAAATTTAAAACCAATAAAAATAAAATGTGAATTCGATTAAAAATAAATATTCAGGTGGGAAAAGATTAGAACAACTCCAAAATAAATTCGAGTTTTATTTTGCGTTAATCATTTTATGGTGGGATTTTCGTAATGAACAGAACTGGCGAGTTTAATTATGAGATAATTTGACAACAGATCGTTCATTTCTGGAAATGATATCCCGAACTATCAAATGCAAACTTTTGCAGGAGTTTTTTTTTTTTAATTTTACCTCAAAAAGCTGGCAAGCAGTGAACAAAAAAGGGAAGGGGGAAAAGCGCTGGAAGAAAGTCATTTTCAAATTTTCGAACAATTTTATACGATAGAGGAAGAAATTTTGGAAGAAATATGATCGAAATGTTAAAATCCAATACGAAGAATTCACTATTCAGCCATTGCATTCCTAGATGAAAATCTTTCCCGACTAAAGTTAACAAAACAGAAACTAACTTAAAAAAGACAATAATTAAAAAAAATTTTTTAATATTTCAAAAAAATCAATGACGCTAAGATGCGATAAATGTATAAATCATGAATCACTTCCACAAGTACAATAGAACTTTCATGTTGCTTGTCCCTTAAACACTGAGCAACATTTATCAACTGACTTAATTAATTAGTCAGTTGGCAGATGGTATCTATTAATTACTCAACTTTATCTTTCCGTTTACACAAGCATTTCTGAGCATTTTTATCCACAAAAATATGATGCAAAATATTTCAAACTCAAAAATTTGCAGTTCGGACTGTTCAGTTCCTAAGTGAAAAATATAAGTATTCAAGAAAAAAAGAAACATACGTATATGAGAAAAATATAAGTGAAAAATAAATATCGTGAGAAGTATTTACAACAGTGTTGCACTATCAGTATGACTTCAATAGATTTACGAAAAGGTTAATTTCGTGAATCACCTGAGACAGCATTATCATTTCCAGGAATAATCAAACAAAAGCAATGAAGAATTGAGCTTGCTTTATCAATTTGCATGAAAAACACACAAAGGAAGTATATTTAGGTATTTTTAACCATTTAAATAAATTTTCTTAACTTAAAAAAATTGCAGAAACTCCGTCACTGTTAATAATCTAAATTTTAAAGGTTCCTGTAATGTTATAACTTTAAAAACAGATTTCAATTTGTATCAGGGAAAAATTCAATGAATTCTCACCCGAAATTCGAAACTGCCAAAATTTAAAAAGATAGTTGTCGAAGAAAACTGCAAACACTTAAAAGTTCTGAAAAGTAGCAACTGCAAATGAATATGCATTTATAAGAATTTCCGAACTGTTCGGAATATTTCTTACATAAAAGTGTAAAACAGCTGCAGCCGAGCAATTGTTGCTATAGAAATGCAGTAGCATCAAATATTTTAAGCCCAAAAATTTGTTTAATGTCCAAATTCTTCTTTGTAAACTGTTCTGCTCTAGCAACAAATTGTTTCCTTACAAAAAGCAGAAAAAAAAAACTAACTCAGATCGAAGCTAAATCATTACGAAAAAATAAAATCAACATCAACATTTTTGTTGTGACATGAATAGATAATAATATCCGTGTCTGCTTTGAATATAAATTTAACAATAGGAAAATCTAACAAGGAAAGTGATTTAATTCTCTAAATTTAAACCATAGATTTAAACTTAAGGCGACCTTACACATTGCGATGGAAAAGATAATCGCCATTTGAGATACCTATTCATTTCAAGTACGATTTTTTGCAATTAATCAAAGAAATAATTATAATGATGTCTCCGGGACATAAATAGAAAATGGAGTGAAATTAATATATTGCAACTAAAGATAAACGACATGAAATATTCCATTCTTTTTCATTCCTTCGACAATAAATTCAAAAGATGAATTAGATTGTGCAGTTCTGAGTTAAAATACAGTTCACATTTGAGAACTTTAAACAATTGAACAACCTTCCATCTCCTTATTTAATAATTTAACAGTAAAAAAAAGTCTTGTTAAGGTTGTTAAATCTCCAGAAATAAATATGTCTATTGGCTATTTTAGCTGCAGCATTTAAATGCTACGATTGTTGGCAGATCCAGCGATGACAATACCGTCCACCAAATCGTACATAAATAATATGTACAATAACTGTTGATAGCAATCAACACGGTGACGACGATAAGTATAGGCCAACTGTCTCAGTTGCAGGATGCACGAAAGCATTGCGTACGACTTATGCGTATCCTTTGTTTGTGTCTGCGTTCTGCGTAGGTGTGTGTGTGTGCATGTGTGTGGTGTGTGTACTGACAGACAGAGAGACTAGTATTCTACTATATAGTAGAAATAAAAATAAAGTTGCTGTGCTGCAAAGAGTGGAAGAGGACGGCAAGAGATTGTCGGTTCGTTTTCATGTTAGTTATAAGCAATTTATAAAAAGTATTATTTCTATGCTTCCGATAATCTTTCAATGCAAACATTTGCAATGAATACATAAGATACCGACATATTACTTTCACTGAAAAATTTTTATTCAACTCATTAAAAAAAAATTTTTTTTTTACTCTACTCATTAAAAATTTTTTTATTCGACTCATTAAAAATTTTTTTACTCAACTCATTAAAAAAAATTTGAATTCCTAATATAATTTAATCTTGATGTAGAATTTCGAAGCACATTCACTGAACATAACTACTCCATTGTAGAAAATTTATTAATGCAAATAATACATAGACAATGAAAACAGCAGTCATAGCAGCAGTGAAATTGATTTGAAAAAATATATGTTTGTTGTCCTATTTATTTCGTTTTCGCGTTAGATAAAAGTATGACGCCAAAAACTTACATATTATACAGTATCAAAAACAGTAAAATATTATCAAGATCTTATATTAGCATGAATTTGAAAATTTTCATAATTAAATAATCGAATTCCATATACATGTATAAAATATACGGGCTCAAAGATATTGAAAACTTTCTTCAGAAAATGATATCCATGACCTCGATGAAAATTCTCCTTGAGGACTCAATTCCCAATTTTATAAGCTTTTAAATTTCCTTCTTACTTTCCTCCTTTCGCCACATGAATACTCATTAAAATATTTCACAAAAACAGTTAGACATTGAACGTACTCTACAGCTCAAGAAATGAAACAATAATCGTCACAAATGCAACTAAAATTACTTCACAATGGCTACGATTTAATACTGAATACATCGTAAAATAGTTATATGATGATCATCACCTCTTTTTAAAATTTTATGAAACTACAGCCGATCGTAATATCGAAATGAATTTACGTTATTAAAATTTTAAATAAAGTTTTAGACTAGGAAGGATTATAAAAATTTCACGAGTAAGCGAAAATCATTGGCAGGATTTGAATACGTTTATAATCTCCTGCTTTATAAGTAAAACTATATGATTATAAATAAAACTATATGATATTGATATTTCCTATTCAAAAACTTCAGAATCACGTTCACAAAATGGTTTTACAGTTCTTTAAAAAGAGCATCCATATGCAAAAACATTTCATTTTTCTCATATTTATATCTTAATCCTCTTAACTGCTCACCCAACACTTCCACACATGTTTCATATAAATTTGTATCTTTCCGCATACTGCTGTTAATCGACGTACTTCGAATTTTCCTTGCTGAATTTCGAAGAAGCAGTAGAAATTGAATCACCATTCCATAACTGAAAATATTCCTCAAGGAAGGAAAATTTACATTAATAAAGAATGTGATTTGTAAAAATCTCATCCATTTATCTTAATAATTACATCTATGCACCACATTTGCGCCTGCGATCTTAATGATAATTGAATTTTAAGGTTTTTTTTAGAGAAATCTCTCATTTTTCAATCAGCTTACGGAATATAGTGAAAAAAAAGAAAGCTCACCACTGGATTTCATCCTCTTGCACAATATTTGCAAATAAACTTTCGATTTTATCCTTGAGATAAGCAAGTACAGAACTGCAGAAAGCAAATAATGAGTGCTTTAGTTGACTACTAACATAAGTCAAACATAACTCGCTTTAGTGCATAAAATCAGAGAATGTGTCCTTTATCTATTTAGATAAGCTAAGGCAATTATTTCAGGAAAATTATCAAAAGCATATATAAAACGATCGGGCGAATTGATCTCATCTGATCCTACTACTACTGCGAACTTAAACTTGCTTAAAATTCAAGAAATAAAGGATCTCGTTATGAAAATTGAGTGTCAATGTATCTATATCAAAATTTGAAATTGTTACTACTAAAAAAGTGTAGTAAGGAAAATGAATTACCATCGTAACAATCGGTCCTTCAGTAAAATTTTGTTAATCCAGAAATCAATGACCTTATTAAGTTCCAAGCGTGGATTAAGTGGGCTTTGAATAATCCCTACCTAAACACACCATTCTAAATAAATGCAAATACGACCGGTTATTGAAAACTAGTTTAGAAATTCAAATTATTTTTGGAAACTTCCAGAAAGAAAGGAAGCAAACCTAATGAAGTAGATATTTTTTAACAACTGAAGAACTGGAATTTCGATTCTCAGAAAAAAACTAGTCAGCAATACATTAGATCTTCATGAAAAGAAAGGATATTAAGTTACAACATGGAAATTTTACAAAATTTATTTTCAACTAAATCAATACCTCTTTGTTAGTCTCCAAAAATTCTTTTAAAACTAAATCAGCAATAATTTTTGCTTGCTCAGCAATTGAATTCGACGTTAGCAAATTGCAGCTGTTTAAAGTGTTGCAAATAGAAAGCCATCCTTCTGCTGCATTCTGTAATAAATACATGTACTTGAAATACTACACTTTCAACAAATAGATCAAATTTTCTGATATAAACCTATTTCATTCAAAAATTCGTACAATTTCAAGATGATACTAACTAAAACTAGGAAAAAAAACTGGATAGAATAATGAAGAAATTGGAAAACATTACTTTGCGGTCAAAATCCTCAAACTTGAACTTTGAACAAAAAGCCAAATATTTGAAAATGGAGATCGATAAACTTGCGATTGATATTTCTGCCAGTTCATTATTGACAATCTAAGAATAAAATGAATAAATACATCTTTTGTATTCTCTAATTTTTGAAATGAAAACATACGGAAATAGTAACTTTTATATAACTAACAGCAGAAACGATCAAATTTTTGAACAATTCTATCATAGCTGTGAGAAGTTTAATAGCACCGCGACTGCTTTTCATATTATCAATCCACTGAATATCACACAATTCAGCCCTGAACGCAAATGGTGTGTTATATGTTTTAAGCTGCTGCGTCCACAAATAGATGTATGTCTGAAATGCATCTCTCATTTGTTCCACATGAGCTTTCTTTTTCGTTTGAAGTCGGATTAATTAATTCCCAAGGTTTTTTTTGTTTTGTCTTGGAATAAAAAATTGGAATCACTAGAAATGATTTTTTTTAACAGCCAAAACCATCTCAGTTAAACGAACAAAAGATTTCATCGAATGTTTTTCCAATGAATTTTTGACTGATTACGCAATATTTTTTACCTCGCAAACTTTGATCATCATATCAAACTGGTCATCGGTTAGATCCGTTAAGAATTCCGGCATAACCGACTCTTTTAACCACTTCACATCATCCTGCATATTTTTTAGCAATTCTTCTTCACCATCCTGGGAATGAAAATGGTTTTAATGTACAACCAGAAAACAGGTATTGCTCCAGCTGCATCTGAATGTCTTAGTTTTTTGAAGTTAACAAATTAAGCTGAAGGTACTTAAGAAATACTAATGAAAATACTCTTTCAAATTTGTATGATTCCGCAAGAAATTAAATTATTAAAATAAGCTCATCTGTTTCGTATTCTGCTGGAAAAAAGGGAAACCTTTTTATTGTTAGTAAGAATCATAACAGCCAGAATATACTGCATGCGGATACCACGGATTATACTTTCAAAAGTAAAAGTTAAGTTGGAGGATCGAAATCTTTTTTGCAAAATATTTTCCATAATTAACTGCCGCAGTGAAGTGAGATCCTAAAAAATAACAATGCTCGCTTATGCGAAAAAAGAAATTATCTTGTGATGAAATTATAAATACAGAAATCGTTCTTTTCATGCATCATTAATCATAGGTATTCTTGTAAACTGTTCTTACCTCATAATATTTGAAGACATAAATAGCATAGTTGTGCTCCAGATGATACCTTATTTCAGGTTGCTTCATGATACGATCCAAATATAATAACGACTACAAATTTTATATATCACAATAGTCATGAGATGAAATGAGGAATAACTAACAAGTAAATGACATTTTTCTATAGCTGAAAAGAAAAAAACCTACCTTATTAAATGCATCG